CACGATTTCGCGCATGATTCCCAAAATGGCGGAATCGACATGTGTGGCGACAGGAGAAAATGGACAGAGAAGATGGGGCGGGGATCTCTGGGAAGGCGCGCAGACAAGGCGCGCTGACCCATAATGCATTCATGAGTCATGAATCATGACATGTGATCGCATTAGCCAATCAGCAGCCACAGCCAGCACTGTGTAATGGTGGAGCTATAAATCGCGGCCATCTTAGAATTCTCCATTAGCCTCCGGTCATTCAAAGAGACAGACCTGTCTGTATTAAGGGACAGAGTTAGGGCCACAGAGACTTTAGGGCCACAGAATCGTTACTCAGGGCCACAGAATCGTTACTCAGGGACAACAGAATCGTTACTCAGGGACACAGAATCGTTACTCAGGGACACACAATCGTTACTCAGGGACACAGAATCGTTACTCAGGGCCACAGCTATCAAAGAATCGAAAATTTAAAGTGACATACACCCTTTTTTTTTTTGGTGGCTGTCGTGCACAGTTGGTGCTGCAGTTTGCCGATTGTGCAAAATAAACTGACTTTCTGCTTCACAACCACTATTGTATGTTCAAAGAGTTAGATCCATTTACACGCCGGCTGGCGGTAATATTTTTTGGGTGATTAGTGCATTCCAGTGACACAAACGTACAGTTTCCAGCCAACGGCAAGCTGCAATTGACCGATTGTGTACAATAAACTGACTTTCTGCTTCACAACCACTATTGTACGTTCAAAGTGTTAAACCCATTTACACGCCGGGTAGCGGTAATATTTTTTGGGTGATTAGTGCATTCCAGTGACATAAACGTACAGTTTCCAGCCAACGGCAAGCTGCAATTGACCGATTGTGCTAAATAAACTGACTTTCTGCTTCACAACCACTATTGTACGTTCAAGAGTTAAATCCATATACACGTCGGGTGGCAGTAATATTTTTGGGTGATTAGTGCATTCCAGTGACATAAACGTACAGTTTCCAGCCAACGGCAAGCTGCAATTGACCGATTGTGCTAAATAAACTGACTTTCTGCTTCACAACCACTATTGTACGTTAAAAGAGTTAAATCCATTTACACGCCGGCTGGCGGTAATATTTTTTGGGTGATTAGTGCATTCCAGTGACAGAAACGTAGAGTTTCCAGCCAACGGCAAGCTGCAATTGACCGATTGTGTACAATAAACTGACTTTCTGCTTCACAACCACCATTGTACGTTCAAAGAGTTAGATCCATTTACACGCCGGGTGGCGGTAATATTTTTTGGGTGATTAGTGCATTCCAGTGACATAAACGTACAGTTTCCAGCCAACAGCAAGCTGCAATTGACCGATTGTGCTAAACTAAACTGACTTTCTGCTTCACAACCACTATTGTACGTTCAAAGAGTTAAATCCATTTACACGCCCGGCTGGCGGTAATATTTTTTGGGTGATTAGTGCATTCCAGTGACAGAAACGTACAGTTTCCAGCCAACGGCAAGCTGCAATTGACCGATTGTGTACAATAAACTGACTTTCTGCTTCACAACCACCATTGTACGTTCAAAGAGTTAGATCCATTTACCACGCCGGGTGGCGGTAATATTTTTTATTGGGTGATTAGTGCATTCCAGTGACATCAAACGTACAGTTTCCAGCCAAAGCAAGCTGCAATTGACCGATTGTGCTAAATAAACTGACTTTCTGCTTCACAAACCACTATTGTACGTTCAAAGAGTTAAATCCATTTACACGCCGGCTGGCGGTAATATTTTTTGGGTGATTAGTGCATTCCAGTGACAGAAACGTACAGTTTCCAAGCCCGCAAGTGACAGAAGTTAATCCATTTACACGCCGGGTGGCGGTAATATTTTTTGGGTGATTAGTGCATTCCAGTGACATAAACGTACAGTTTCCAGCCAACGGCAAGCTGCAATTGACCGATTGTGCTACAATAAACTGACTTTCTGCTTCACAACCACTATTGTACGTTCAAAGAGTTAGATCCATTTACATCGCCGGCTGGCGGTAATATATTTTTGGGTGGTGCATTAGTTGTACATTCCAGCCAACGGCAAGTGCAATTCACCGACTTTGTGTACAGACCTTTCTGCTTCACAAACCACCGTAGTTCAAAGAGTTAGATCCAGCCGTAAATTTTTTGGGGTTATTAGTGCATTCCGGTGACAGAAACGTTAACAGTTTCCAGCCAACGGCAAGCTGCAATTGACCGATTGTGCTAAATAAACTGACTTTCTGCTTCACAACCACTATTGTACGTTCAAAGAGTTAAATCGGTTTTATTTTTTTGGGGTGCTTATTGAATTTAAAGAGTATTGTCAGACAACACGCAGAGGAGTGGCAGAGGAGGCAATGTTTTCAGGAGCGAGCAGACGTGGCAGCAGAGGAAGGGGTCGAGGCAGCACTAGTCGCAGCCAGAGGCCATGTGCTTCTCCGGTGTTATCCAGCGGTCGTGTCTCCACCGACAACCCTGCCGTCATCGATTGGTTGACTCGGTCGTCTTCCTCTTCCCAGGTCACCTCTGACACCTACAGCCAACGGTCGGTGGGTACGTCAGACACAACCGTTAGTTGGCATGGCCCAGGAGCAAGCCCACTGAAATCACGTGTCCTCGACCTGCCCCTGTCCTTTGGTTTTCCCTCACCAAGCGAAGTATCGCATGCTGTGGGCTCAGCCCCACTGTACAGTGAGGAAGAGCTAAGAGGAGGCAGCAGGGTCGCAGCATGTGTCAGTGGAGCCAAACGGCCACGGAGTAGAGCACCACTCCACTGCAGCCTACCACCACGGCCAGTAGTGGTGCCGGTGTGCACGAGGAAGTAGCAGTCAGCCAGTGAGGAGTAGCGGGGGCAAGTTTCCTACTCGGCGGTGTGGCAATTTTTCGTCACGCCGCCCGAGGAAGTAAACGTAGCCGTATGTCGACTATGTGGCCAGAAAGTCAAGCATGGCCAGGGGGCCAATGTTGGGACTACAGCGTTGCGTCAGAATATGCAGCGTCGCCATTCGGTGGCCTGGGAAAAACCGTGATAAAGATACGGCGGTTCTGCCTGCCCCAGCCCCCGCTCCATCACCCGCTCCGTTACTTGCTCCGTCACCCGACGTCAATCGCCCTCTATCAGCCAGTCAAGGCTCCAACACCTCGCTGCTGAGGGGAGTTGTCGCTCGTTTGGCATCTTCCGCTCGTTCAGATGCTCCTTCTCCTGCTACTCCTCTTCACGGATTCCGTCATCAGTCTTTCTTGGAATCCGTTTCCAAGAGACAACAGTTTGCGAGCACGCACCCGACGGTGCAGAAGCTGAACGTCCTCCTGTCCAAGTTGCTGGTGCTGCAGTCCCTCCCTTTCCAAGTGGTGGACTCAGCACCTTTCCGAGAAATGATGGCTTGTGCCGAGCCGCGGTGGAGAGTGCCAAGCCGGCATTTCTTCGCCAAAAAGGCAGTGCCAGCCCTGCATTCACATGTAGAAGAGATGGTGGGCCAGTCTTTGAGCATGTCGGTCTCTGCCAAAGTGCACGGCACCGCCCGACGTGTGGAGCTGTAACTACGGTCAGGGACAGTACATGTCATTTACGGCCCACTGGGTGAACGTGGTGCCGGCACAGCCGCACCAGCGACTTTGGACAGGTCACGCCGCTTTTGCCTCCACGTTTGCACGTCCTTGGTCCAGCAAAGATGTCCGCCTCTACCACCTCTTCATTTCCGCCGTGTCCTCAGCCACCACCCTCGTGCCAAGTCCCATTACCCGACGGCATATCACATGTGCAGGGCGCAACGGTGTCACGCTGTGCTGCACCTGGTATGCCTTGGCGAACGTAGTCACACAGGGAGGAACTTCTGTAGAGTGTAATGAACAGAGAAATTGACAGATGGCTGTCTCCGCGCAAACTGAAAATGGAACCATGTGACCCCGACAAACGGAAAGAACATGGTGTCTGCTCTGCGTCAAGGAAGGTTGTGCCATGCGCCATGCATGGCTCACGTGTTCAATCTGGTTGTCAAGCGGTTCCTAAAATCCACCATCCCACTGCAAGACATCCTTAAAATGTCACGTAAACTTTGCATGCATTTCAGCCATTCCTACACCGCAAAGCACACCCTCCTTGAGCTGCAGCAGAACGGAATTCCACAGCATCACCTGATCTGCGACGTTGCAACAAGGTGGAATTCAACCCCTACATATGTTAGACCGCCTTTACGAACAGCGAAAGGCCATCACCGATTCCTGATGTTACAAGCGGATAAAGGTACTCCCCTGTGTAACTTAGATGTCAGCCATTGGCAGCTCATGCGTGACACCTGCCGCTTGCTCAGGCCCTTGAGGAGGACTATGGGATGAACGACGTCATTCCTCTGTTGCACGTCCTGGAACAAATGCTGTTAACAATGGCTGGTCAGGGTGCGGTAGACGTGGCGCACAGATCTCAACGCCACATGACCCCTGTGGGGGCAGGACAGGAAGAAGAGGAGGAGGTAGAGGAGGACATTGGTGCTCAGGAATTATTGAGTGAAATGGGTGGTTTTTTCCACTCAGCGGACAGGAGTGGAGGAGCAGGAGCATCTGGTAGAGGAGGAGGAGAGACAGATGGACCCAGACGCACCGTGGCAGTATGCTGTGGAGATGGAGGCAGGGAGTCCCTCGCATTCCTTGGCACAAATGGCCCATAGCATGCTTGGTTGCTTGCATAGCGACAGCCGAATAAATAACCATCAGACAGAGGGATGACTTTTGGCTGTCCACCTTGTTGGACCCTCGCTACCGTTCAAAAATGGTGGCCTTTTCACACCTGCTGAGAGGGAGGCCAAAATAAAGTACTATAAAAACCACCTATGTAGTCATGCAGTATATAGCCCTATCGCCACTTTCTGGCATCCAGTTGCTGTAGCCCCCTCACCACACTGTGCCACGGGCCCCTGTACCGCCTTCTCATACTGCTGCCAGATCCATCCTCTGCCATGTGCGTCTTTGTCGTCTGCTCACGCTGCTGGGTTCCAGTTTTAAACCTAGTGCCTGTGTATGGCTTCCGAATACTGCTGCCTCCACCGCCACCCTGCGCCATGTGCCTCTGTCGTCTGCTCACGCTGCTGACGGCTTCCGCTTTTTAAACCTAGGCCTGTGTATGGCTTCCAAATACTGCTGCCTCCACCGCCACCCTGCGCCATGTGCCACTGTCGTCTGCTCTTTCACGCTGCTGACTGACGGCTTCCGCTTTTAAACTAGTCCTGTGTATGTCTTCCGAATACTGCTGCCTCCACCGCCACCCTGCGCCATGTGCCACTTTCAGCTCTCCTTACACTGTTGGTGGGTTTCCATTTTGTGATAGGGTGCTGTATGGCCTTCCATTGCTGCTGCCTCCACCGGGCCACCCTGCGCCTCCTGTCGTCTGCTCCGCTGCTGACGGCTTCGCTTTTTTTTTAACCGAGGCCTGTGTTTGGCTCCACGCTGCACAGTTCCACCGACGCCATGTGTCTCTGTCGCTTCACGCTGCATGACGGCTTCCGCTTTTTAACCGGCCTGTGTTTGGCTTCCGAATACTGCTGCATCCACCGCCACCCTGCGCCATGTGTCTCTGTCGTCTGCTCACGCTGCTGACGGCTTCCGCTTTTTAACCTAGGCCTGTGTATGGCCTTCAATTGAAGCTGCTTCTGCTCCGCCACTCTGCCATTGGACTCTTGATAGTCGTCTCCCCACGCTGCTGCTGGGGGACTTTTTAACATAGTCCTCTGTATGGCCTCAATTTTAGCTGCTTACGCTCCGCCACTCTGCCATGGGCCCCTGTACCGCCTCCTCATGCTGCTGCCAGGCCCGTAATCTGCCATGGGCCCCCGTACCGACTCCTCATGCGCTGCCAGGCCCGTAATCTGTCATGGGCCCCTGTACTGCCTCCTCATGCTGCTGCCAGGTCCAGAGTGTGTCATGGGTCCCTGTACGGCCTCCCATTGCTGCTGTCTCCATCGCCACACTCTGCCATGTGCCACTTTCAGGTCTCCTCACACTGCTGGTGGGTTCCATTTTTTTTGTCATAGGGTGCTGTATGGCCTCCCATTGCTGCTGCCTCCACCGCCACAACTGTGGCTCCACACTCTGGTTTTGGCCCCGTGACTGCCCAAATGAGTGAAGTGTGCGGTGATTCTAAGATCGACGGCACTCATCTGCATGTCATACTGACTGACAGTATTATTTCTCTTCCCCAGCAGACTCCAAGGGCATTTAAATTAAAAGTACAGTGTTCTGCACTAATATAAAGGCTCTCTGAAGCCTAGAAACACCCTTTTTATAAGTTAAATTCGCAGCGAATATATTCGGCACGAAGCAAATTTAATTGGCGAATTCGGCGAATCAGCGGAACCGATTTTTGAATAATTCGCTCATCTCTAATCATCACCTTCTTCCAGTGTCCCCCTCCTATCTCCTGATAAGACATATTGTGTGGAGTCACTCTGCACATGCTCAGTTTGGTGTGTATTGCTAGAGAGGTAAAGGAACAATCCTTTACGTCCCCACTCCGATGGATAGGTGCTCAAAAGATAAGGAACAAGGAACTCCTCATAGAGTAGTAAGGCTTTATTACCATAAATTACCAAAATTTTTAAAAATGCCACTCACATAGATACAAGGTTAACAGAACCTACGTATTACAAGCATTTAAGGGAAAAACAGGGTGAACACAGATGGCGGCTCCCGCACGCACCAAAACAGACGTCACAAGCTTCTGTCCTATCGGAGTGGAGACGTAAAGGATTGTTCCTAAGTGTGCCTGGAGAGACCTTTGGAAGCAGAGGATCCAGTGGGAAAATATTGAGTGCATGTTGCCCTATATTTTCTATGGGTCAGCTGTTAAGCAGACCGTGCATGCCTGAAGGTGAAGGAGCATGATAGACTTGTACAACTTTTGAAAGAAACTGGTGTATTTCTTTTAATGTTGGAAGAAATAGACTGTTATATCACTTTTGGACTTCATTTTTCACTTTATTAAGTGTTATCAATCATTCACTATTTATCTGTTTTTTATATATATATTCAGTTGAGCTGCTTATCTCTCTTTTTTTTGTTTATTATGCACCTTTTGTGCATATCTAGCCCATTGGAACATTTACTTGATTCATCACGTATTTATTCCATTGGGGGCATTCATTTTACAACTGTTTTTGTTGGTTTTCATACGTTATGCTTCAGCTCAGCGGGGTGTTTATTACAGCTCAGCAGGTTTTACTGCTATTGCGATCATGTTTTATTTCTGATATACGTTTCATATATTATACCATTCTTGTTGTTTTTTTACACTTTATTATTCAGCTCAGCCGGATGTTTATTATAGGTTGGCCAGGTGTTTATTGCTACTTTATTATGGTTTATTGTTGATATATGTTTCACATATAATTTGGATTTAGTGGCTCAGCCAGTTTTTTATTTACTACTGACTTTATTTGTTTCACAGATTTATTCAATTACACATTGGGTTTGATGCTCAGGAGGGTGTTTATTTATTATTAGTTTATTTTTTTGGGTCACTAGGGGGTAGCGCAGCCCTATTCTTCGGGAATTTTATTGCAGTGCGAACACATTTAGGTGCTTGCAGCAGAGTATCAATTATTTTTGGCAGCGCATGAGTATTATATCCTTATTTTTATCAGTTTATATTTACTAAAATTATTATTATTACAGGTACTTATATAGTGCTGTCAATTTACGCAGTGCTTTACATATATATTGTACATTCACATCAGTCCCTAACCCTCAAGGGGCGTACAATCTAAGGTAAAATAGTTGCACTTCCATGTTCTGTGTACTGTGGGAGACCAGATATATTGAATGCAGGGTCCTGGCTTTAGTAACACTTTAATCCTGCATTTGTTTATCACTTATGTGAATTGGCAGAGAGAGGAGTGTACGGACACATCCCAGTGGTGGAAAAATATTATCAATAAGACAAGGCTTTCCTTAAAATTTGCAGGTAAGTCATAAGTATGACATACTAGATAACGTTGTTAACAGAAACAGTCAGAATTAATTTTTTTATCAATTAGTCTTCAGTAAGAAAAGTTGAAAGCTGCAGTTGAGCACCAGCTCAAATCCAAAAATCTCAGCCAATGAACTATTTCACTACTGTTTCAAAGCCTGCGCTGCCTTTAGATGTAATATTATTATTTATTATACAGGATTTATATAGCACCAACAGTTTGCGCAGCGCTTTACAAAATGAAGGCAGACATTACAGTTACAATACAATTTGGTACAAGAGGAAACAGAGGGCCCTGCTCTTTCCATAGGATGGGAGAAGCTCGGGAGAAGTCCTGGAGGCGAGCATGGGAGGAGGTGACATGGGAACTAGAGAGCAGAAGGTCTTCGGAGGATCGAAGAGAGCGGTTTGGTATGATATTTTGAGGCCAGGTTGGTGATGTAGCTGGGGGCAGAGTGGTGGATGGCTTGGCAAGTTGTTGTTAGTATTTAGAATTTTATTCGTTGAGCGAGTGGAATCCAGTGTAGGGATAGGCAGAGAGGGGAGCAGACTCTGAACGGTTCGTAAGGTGGATGAGCCTGGCAGCGGTATTCATGATGGACTGGAGGGGGGATAGCCTATTTAAAGGTAAGCCAATGAGGAGGGAGTTGCAGTAATCCAGTCGAGAGATTACCAGGAAGTGAATTAGGAGCTTTGTGGTATCATTGGTTAAGAAGGGACAGATTCTGGAGATGTTGCGGAGGTTGAGGCGGCATGATTTGGACAGGGATTGGATGTGGGCCTGAAAGGATCATTCAGAATCCAGGGTTACACCTAGCACCTTGGCATGCAGGGATGGGTTGATAGTGGTGCTATTGATTCTGACTGAGAAATCAGGGGAAGAGGCGCATGGGGGAGGAAATATTATGAGCTCAGTTTTGGATAGATTGAGTTTTAGGAAGTGGAGTGACATCCAGTCTGATATGTCTATTAGTAAATCGGTGATGCGTGTGGAAGCTGGTGGGGGTGACCGAGTAGAGAGATAGATTTGTGTGTCATCAGCATAGAAATGGTATTGGAAACCATGGGAAGCTATCAGCTGACCCAAGAAAGAAGTGTAGATCGAGAATAGGAGAGGTCCAAAGACAGAACCTTGGGGACCCCAACAGTAAGAGGAGTAGGAGAGGTGGAAGTAGAGTTGTAAGTGACACTGAAGGTGCGGTGAGATAGGTAAGATTCAAACCAACGGAGAGTATAGTCACAGAGACCAAGTAAATAACGTTTTTTGAGGAGGAGCGGGTGGTCAACTGTGTCAAAGGCGGCGGAGAGATCCAAGAGCAAGAGTACGGAATAGTGACCATTGGTTTTAGCGGTTAGTAAGTCGTTTGTGAGTTTTAGGAGAACAGTTTCTGTGAAGTGTTGTGGGTGAAATCCAGACTGACGGGGATCGAGAAGGTTATTTTCAATAAGGTGGCAGCTCAGCCGGTTGTAGACTAGACATTCAAGGAGGTTGGAGGCAAAAGGGAGTAAGGAGATGGGTCTTAGGTTGCCAAGATTGGCGGGGTCCAGTGAGGCTTTTTTAAGTATGGGGGTGACTAGCGCATGTTTTTAGAGAGTTGGGGAAGATGCCAGTAGAAAGGGAGAGATTGAAGATGTGAGTTAAAGAATGAAGGATAGAGGCAGAGGGTGACCGTAGTATTTGCGAGGGAACAGGGTACAGGGGGCAGGTGGTTAGGTGGGCTTTAGAAAACAGTTATTATTATTATTATACAGTATTTATATTGCGCCAAAAGGTTTGCTCAGCACTGTACATTATAGCAGGGGACAGTTTACCAACCTCCTCTATAGTAGCTGGGTTAAACAAGGGAAGTATAGATTGTGCAGGTGAACAAGGAGTGTAAGGTGAGGGAGATATCTGTACAGTGGAGATCTCGTCACAAATTGTATCAATCTTATTTTTGAAGTGATTAGCGAGTAGTGAGTGAGTTAGTGGGTGGAGGTAGAGAAGGACAAAGTAGAGAGTTAAAGGTAGAAAAGGGTTGACAGGGATTGCATGAGAGGGTGTTAATGAGAGTGATAAAATAGGTCTGTGGTGGAGACAAGAATTGTATGATTGTAAGATGTAGTTGTTAAAGGTGGCTGTAGTCATCAGAGAATGGTTGAATGTTCATACATGTTTGAACCATCTCACAATGACCTTTTGCCCAGCTACTTGCCCTAAACAGCAATGTTCTGGTTGCAGGAGTATTCTTGCTTAGGCTGTGAATGAGAGCGAGGGTTCTGGAATGGCTTACTTTGGAAATATCTGATCTATCTGATGACTGTGTATCAAAAGAATAGTCATCCTGCACTAATAAAGGATGTTGCACATACATTAGATCCTTGACCAATCTAATTTTTTTTGTTGTCATATCATGTCTATTCCATCAAAAACACATTCAGGAGGTGCAGGGATTTCAGTGCATATGCCATTGGTCCAAACACAAGAAAAGTAAATCTTCAGATAGCTTAAGCTCATTGGCTCTGGTAAGTCGTTCTCGAACCCACAGGTCTCCCTCAGTGGGTACCTGGAAACAGCTCAAAGAATAGTCATAGAAATGGGTGATAAAACACAGTGAAGGGCTCCCCTGATTACATTGTTATAATTCCAATCCAAAAGGAAGTTTTCACCAATCAAATATCCTGTAGATCCATATGGTTATAGTATCCTTTGAGTCCATTCAAAGGGCTAAGGGGGAGTTTTATTGCCAA